GATAGACACTTGTGACCGAAAAAAAACCAAACAAATAAAGATAACAGACACATCAGGTTTTAAAATCTATTTATATTCGCGGTGATTGTCTCATTTGATTATTTGAAATCGGTGCAGTTTTTCACCCGGAAGTGAAATAACACAGCTAACAACAACAAAATTAGCACAAAAGACTTAAATAAGTACAAAAGTGTCTCCAGAGACATTAATTCTCGATTATTCGATTTTAAAGAAAGATACACAGAGAAAAAAAATGAGCAGACATAATCAAAATTCATGTGTTCAATTTCACATTCTCAAAAATCGTGGGTATGCTCGCGTTCGAAAAAAAAATACTAAGCATGACTTAATGAAACAATATGTTTCATATGCAAACGAAAAAGACAGCATGCGAACAGAGACGATCCAACAATAATAACAACGACATCTACTCAAAAAAAAAAAATCTCTCAGAAACCGTAAAATGAAAAAAAAAAAAACAAGTTGTACACGAACGGCCTTTATCGACCTTGTTCATTATACAATTTTTTGTCGCTTGTTATTTTCTTTCTTTTCGATTGCGTATCTTTCTTTCGATTAAATGTGCTATTTTCTTCTCTTTTGCTCGCTTGCTGTCACTGTCTCTTTCTCGGTTTTTTTTTATTAATACATGCACATCACATTTGAAAATTCACCATAAATTGTTGGCAACACAGATATCGATGTCCGTGCAGCATTGTGCCATAAATTGAAATGCCTCTTTAAACAAAAAAAAAACGACACGATGCAGTCGTATTACTTATTTTATTTTGTTTAAGCTTGAATTTTGTGCATTTTTCCAGCATGCATTTACAATGTTGCGTTTTTGTTTTGTTTTAAATCGTTTTCGGACAACTAGTATATTGATAAGTGCTCATTGGCAGCACGCGCGCTCTCGAAAGAAGAAGATTTGCAAAAATAACAAAAGATTTCAGGAAGATTGAAAACGATAAAAAGATGCTAGAGAGATAGATAGATAGAGAGGAGAAATATAAAAAGAAACTATTTTATGTTGAACTCACCGTTGTTCAAACGGTCAAACAGGAAATGAAGCGACAATATTTTTTATTACTTTTTAAAAGTTGATTTTTAAATATAGTTGGATTTGCTGTTATTTGTGTGTTTTTCGATCGTTTTATTCGCATTTTGACCTGCGCTAATTCTTGCCAAGGTGTGACATGTGTGTCTGTCTTGTGTGGGACAATAATCAATTACTTTTGGAGAGAGAGAGAGAACATTGTATGCATGGATCCCGAAATGAGACCACGTCCACACCAAATTATTTATGATTCTTCGATAAATATGACGAAAGAGAAATAATGGAGAGCAAGTTAAAATGAAAACCTACTTTTCCTTTGCGGTTCCGGCGACAACAGGCAAAATATTAAGCAACGTATGTGTATATCGCGCGAACCGTAAAGCGAAGAGAAAAAAAATACCTGCAATTATTCTAAGGTAGTGTATGATGGAAAGAAAAAGGCTACATGATGAATCAACTTCTTTCATTTCGTTTTTGCGAAGCAATTTGCAATGCAAGTGCACACAAGTTTGACTTTTATGATGCATTCATATTTTTTGAGTTGACAACATGAAACCACTAAGGCACTGGATACATTTAATGCCAGCCATATATACCGGTGAGACAACGATAAGAGAAATTCTCAATAAAATAATTCGACTACATTTTAAGCGGAATTCAATACAATCTCATTGAAAAGAAACAGAAATGTAAACAACATATTCCAACGTTCAACGATCGATTCTTTTTTTTTAAGGATTTTCACCACGTCCTTGGGAGTTTTTAATATCAAAATGAATAAATAACAAACATGTGTACATTATGTACACTTTCATTTCGATTTCGAATTCACATAGTTCACCAATATCAAATGTATTTATGTATCATAGTTGTGCAGCCACAACAACTAATGCTGCAGCCATACATCAAAAATGAACATTAAACGTCGTTCCATTTAAAATGGACTTTGTTCAATTTTATTCATTCATTTTCATGGGCTGTTTGGTTTTCTTTTCATTGCTTGGCCCTCTCTCCCCATCTCTTCATTTCTCTCTCTCGTGTGATTCGATATTTTTGTATTGAACATTTTTTTTAAAAACATTTTCCAATACAAAATAAAGGCACATTTCAGCGTTTTGTTCAATATGGACTGGGTTTTGGTTGTGTTGTCAGTGATTGTCAAGAAAAAGAAAAGACAGAGAGACACAGAGAGAAAAGCCGTTCCGGCTGAGATTGCATAGCTTTATATGAATTGCTAAGCGCATTGGCATGCTTTCTTTGCGTTCGGTGACTGTTTTTTTTATTTTCATTTACTGCTTTTGCAATTGAAACAAAACGACGACTCAAAGTGTTAGACATAGAAAACGATGCCAACTTAATGATTTAGTATCTCTCGCTCGTCACTTGATCCACATTAAGTATTTTCAATTCTTTTCAAGCAATTCGTATTTCACTGAGCGGCCATCGTGTGTGTGTGTGTGTGTGTGTGTGTATTAAATTTAAGGTGGATTCCACCGCATCAAAAGATGATGAATATTTATAATAAATTTGTGATTTGGTATACGTTCGAGATAGATTTTTTTATATTCATTCCTCAAATTTAGGGGCCGTTGTGTACGCAACAAACAGAAAATGTGTGTACGACAGAGTGAGAGAACGGTAGAGACACATCGACGACGAATTCGCCGTGTATTTAAAAAAAACTGTGCGTCGCTTAAGTGTTAAACAAAATTGCGCGGTAGCTGGAGATAAGCCATCTTAATACAGTTCATCATCGTTGTTGCTGCTCTTTTTTTTTGTTGTTGTCAACGTCGTTATTATCATTTAGTTTGGTGTTTATGCATATATTCGTATCACATTACTTATGTGATTTTTACTCTTAGTCTTCTTCATAATATATTCGTTTAGTTTTGTGGTGTTTCTTTGGGAGCCGCTCTTTCTAGCAATATAATGTGCGCGAGCTCGCTTCTTCTCTTTTTTATTAAATTTTTTTGTTCATTTATATCTTGTCCACATTTTTGATCTTCGTATTCCGATTGTAATGCGTAAATGACATTTAAATATGTGATTATCGTTATTTTTATTCGACTATTTTGTATATTTTGCCGTGTTTCACTCTTTATCAATTGGTATTTAATCTGCAACGCGACACAGACCGAAATCTTATAGGGCGTACGATGTGTATGGTATAAATTGAATGCAGTCGCTTCTTAGCGAGAGAGAAAGACATCACGAGAGAGTTTCTTTCTTCGTTTGTTTGCATCTGCTCTTTTTTTATTAAATATAAATTTGTTCGGTGTTTGTTTCGAATATGTGTTCGTATTCGAACAAGAGAGAGATAAGCATCTACAAATAGCACAAAATCTATTTCGATAGAACTAAATCAACGCATTATTTCTTGGGTCGTTTCATGACTATATTAGCTGAAATATGTTGTTGCGGTAATATTTTCTCCTAATAAATTTTTATTTAAAAAAAAAAGCTTTTTAGCGACAATGGCATGCATATTTGATACCAATTTAACAATTTATTGACTATCCAAATTGGATTTTGCCACACAAAAATGAAGTGTGTGTAAAAATTCCCAAGGTCGTACACACTTATCAATCGTACGAACCGTTTTTTCCAGATAACATCCAAAAAACCGGTCAAAAACTATGATAATAACGAATTAACATAGAATGCATTTCAAAAAAAAAAAAGAATTATATATTTTAAATTCGATGAAAAGGCAACTTTATTTTCAATTAAATGAGATAGTATAAATCAAATTATGAATAGAATTGAGTTTATGTATGTTCGCAGAGAAAGAGATAGAGAAAAATGAGAGAGGAAAAACGAGACACAGAAACTATCGAAGAAATCTCTGTCATTTTGTCTCCACAAAGACTGGGAAATATCAAAGTCGACGATCGCGTTTGTGTATAAAGTAATATATGTATACATTGATATCGAGGAGGTCAAATCTCATATGAAAATAGTAATTAATTCAAACAAGTTCACCATTGACTATGCAAATTAAGTCGTATATCGTCATACGATATGATGATGATATTTTTTCTCATTTAATTATTGCCCTTAATTCATTTATGAATTCGGATTACGCACAAACAGTAACAATTGACCATCACCGTCGAAAATGTGTTTGCTAATCCACAATTTAATTTTATTCGAAACCATTAACCCCGAATCGACACTTTCTATACTTTACGCTCAATCCGAATATTGAACTCCCATTTGCTCTTTTATTATTACTTTTCTCAACTATCTGTATTCTAAAAAAAACGAAAAAAAGCCAACGAAAAAATTAATCAATTTGTTCAAAGAGAGACTGCATCAAAAGTTGTACGCAATTTATATGACTTTTATATTTTTATTGCATTTAATATGTGTTTTGTTTATGTGTCTCAACTCAGGCGAACTGTAAAAGGCGAAAAAACTGGAACAAACGATAAACCAGACACATTCAAAATGAAAGTGTCGTGTGGGTCGGTTGTTGTTCTTGTGTTTTTTTCATAAAATTGGAATTTCAAGATTAGTGAGAAGAAAGAAGAAAAAAAAAACATACACACATTGCAAAACACGATTTTTATTTATTGAGATACAGATACATATCGTATTTATCTTGTATTTATGTTGTTATTGTCATTGCAACAAATCGATTGTGTCGAACACGCTTACAATTGTCGTTCGATGAATTCTTACAAATGACAAAAATAAAATGACCAAATTGTGTGCAGTGTGCTGTGTGATGATGGATATTTTTTTTATTACCGATTCAAAAACCAGAAAAAGGTGAAAACAATATCGCCCCCGTGCTTAGATCATCAAATTTGACATCAATTTTTTTTTTCATTACGTTATTAGATAATTAAAGTGTGCGATTGGTGTAAAAATAGATGTTTTGTTCACAATTTTAACTTGTTTTATTTGAAAATATTAATTTAATCATTTTCGTTTTCAGAATGGTTTCGTTGAATGTGAACAGGAAAATTGTCCGGCTGTTGATGATTGTTACATGCTTGAAAAGAAGAACGGTTGCTGTGAAAAATGCAAAGGTAAATTAAAAAAAAAAACAACAAAAATACTGCTCAAAATTACATTTTTACGCAATTTATCTTTTGCCTTTTTTCTCTCTCTGTTTTCTCTTCAATTTCTCATATTTCATTGGATGAATGCGATTATGTTTGCAATCGAACATAAACACATGCAATGCAATGAAATCAAATAGAATGCATTTACAAAGGTGAACGATACGCAAGTGGTGCCGAATGGTCTGATCCAGACGATCCTTGTGCAAGTTTTAAATGTATGGCTGGTGTGGTTACGGAATCGAATATGCAATGCTATACACCGTGCAATAATCCGTTATCGCCGCGAAAAGGACAATGTTGCTCAACCTGTTTAGGTAAGTCTCGTATGAAAAATAAAATAAATAAAACAAATTGAAAAGAGAAGAAAAAAACTATATTTGTACATAGTGAAGCGCATTGATTACAATCACAAGTTCACAAGTGCACAGCACACTATATTCCGTGCTGAAAAATAGGAAATTATGCAATTAGAATGAAATGAAATGATACAGTGCACAAAAAACTAAAGCAAAAGAGAGTGCAAGCGAGATGGAGTAAACACATACAAAAATTAATAACAATTTTTCCATGCGAATGACATTTTATCCGTACAAAAACCTGTCGTGTGGCTTTTTTTTTTTGCTTCAACATTGAGAGTCTTAAATGGTTACATTGTCAGCAACAATTTCAAATAATTTGCGTTTATTTTATCGCACATTTATATGCCTACCAACATGTAATTTTTTTTTTCACTCATTCGTTGTGTTCATTCAAGTGCAAAACAAAAAGTCTACGGCAACGACGACGATAGTAATAACAACAACATGGTCAAATGAGCAAATGTAATAAAAGACAAGGATTTTGACCGAAGTTCAGCGTTTTACATTTTAAAATGTTTCATCTCCTTACTTTCTAAGAAAAATGTGCAACGATAAATCGGTGGAAATACGCATTTTCTGTGACAATTCTTTGTGCGGTTTGTTTCACCACACACCGTACAATGGTCAACAACTCTTATAGATGGTGGTCACTGGATTTAGAGATGCAAAGTAGCATTGGCAAAAGTAGATACGGTGTACCAGCAATAGGTATGCCGCTGTGCATATCAACGTCGAACAACACAAACAACAATCACATCGCAAGTAGTTAAAAGTTGTTAATCGATGAAATAATAGATGCGATTCTGACAGATGACAATCTTAATCACACGAAATACAACATAATTAAGAAAGTGGCTAGAAAACCGCTGTCGGCTATCAAATAATATCACATTTCATATTCTTCACCTCCTATTACATTATGATTTGCATAATTTTTCACCCGATGAACGAAACCAAACAACAACAACAAACAAAAATATGCACACGAAGACAAACAGACAGACAGAGCTAACGACAAAATAAAAGGGAATCCAGATGATTCTGCTCCTGGGCATATATTGCAATGTGTCTTTTGTATCTCTCGTTCAGCACTCTTTTTTTTATCTACAATTTGTTTTTTATTTACTTCTACGCTACTATCAGCGTAGCATATGTAAACAGAAATTCAATTGCAGTTGATTTGACCGTTCGCTAGAATTGATACGTTTGTAGGATTGTTTGTATGTTGAAATTTGATGATAATGGTTAAGACCCTGATTGAAATAGGTTTCGAAGCATTGACGACATTGCCACCGATATCTTAACGCTTTGAGGTAAATTTTGACATCCCACTAACTGTACCAATCATATTTTCAAAATGAAACAAGCCGAACTAAATTTATGCCATCAAATCGTCCTTCGTTCGTTATTTTCGTGCAGTTCGTCATTTTTAAAATATCTTTCCCACTTCTTGCATATTCTTAACCTTAATTTGCAAGCTTTAGATTTGTGAGCACACAATTTTCTCTAGCCAATCATAATTTTTTTCAACTTTTTGCCTTGAAGCGAGCACTCACATTGGTTTCAAGTGTAAATAAATTCAAATCCTTTGCATGCGAAGAAAACGCAACCAGCAAATCAATTGAATTCAGCATCGAATTGAATTTTCAACCGCTCGAAAATGATATTGATGAGGGAATTCGTTAAGCAAATTGCAGTATTGCAATACGGTCAACCACAAAATTTGCCTTGCAGCACTGGAAAACTCTTGCACAATATTGAAAAATTATGTTCTTGAACGAAAAGAAAAATGATTGTTCGATGCGCATACAAAACTACAAAACCAAAAGGTATATGAACTGAAAAACGACGACGACGACGACGACGATAACAAAGATGATGAGATCACAAAAATGCAGAGCCAGGGCATTTGGAATTTTACAGAAGAGCACCAAAGCGCTAAACCTGAAGTATAGTTTTTGTACTTTTTGATATTATGGTCTGTGGTAACATTGATATTTGTTTTGGAAAAAAAGGAAAGAAAAAAAGCATACCACGACAACGACGGTGACGAAAAACGTACGTAAAACTTTGTGAACTGGTTTGTTGCGCACCGTTTTGTGAATTTGTTGTTCGGTGCATTTTTGCTGATATACATTCTTCGTGTTCCTTTTCTGCCTTCTTCTTTTGTTTGGTCATTTTCTTTTGGACTTTTGCAGATCATTTCATTCTTGCTTTTTTCCCCGTTCGATTCCAGCACTATATTTCGTAGTTATGTGTTTTGTTTTTTTTTATTATTATTATTTCCACCATTATTCCATTCATTTTTATTTGGGTGGTCTACAATGATAATGTGAAATTTTGTTTTGATTTCAAGTTTGTTATGTATTTTTTCAACATAATACTGTTTTCATTGCGAATTCAATGCTGAGCTTTATATTCAATGAGAATATTGACAAAAAATATCGTCTAGAAAAAAATCTATCAAAAATACTTTTTCGATTTGACAGATTATATTTTTTTTTTTCGCGGAAGGATTGTTCAATTTGTTGTTCTTCAAAAGAGTTTTTAATCGAGTCAATTTCATCCGAACATGTCAAACGTAATTTCAAAATGTCTGAACAAAAACAGCAAAGTGCAAAACCGAAAAAAGTCAAACTGATTAATTTTGAATGTGAGTTGCCTGCTCTTCGGAATTTATCTGGAATTATTGATCGGAGACTAATTTCATCCGGTAAATTGATCCGTCTTTTTTTAGTAACCGCCTCAAACTCATCACTTTAATTGAAAATAATAAAAAAAGACGTCGAATGCCTCCGGATGCCTTTGGTGTATTTAAAAACCGAAATGAAATCATGTGCATTTCACTAAATTGCCATTTCATGCTCAAATGGTTTTCTTAACGAAAAACCGAATTGACAAACTGGCAAATCGAGAGAAAATAAAAAACAGCATCGAAACCGAATGGAAATAGAGATAAGATATCCTGTTGTATATGCTTTCCATCGCTTGCCGTATGTCAATTGTCGATTAGTCATCAATAACATCGAAATCGTTGAGTGATCGAAATACCTTCTTAAATTCACTTGAGAATGGGAAATAAAAATCGGTCTTTTATTCATAGCTCTTGAAAATCAAATCTGAAATGATGGCTGATGCATCAATGTCATCACGAAATACTGCTTGCTGACAGCACACCATCATAATGACATATCGAAAAAGTGATGATTCGATAAATGCAATAAAAAAAGACTCACAAGAAACACACCGAAAAAGAACCTTTTTTCTACCAGTTGCCTCGTGATAGCGTGCGCAAATGCATGTCAGAATGTGTTTTTTCGTTCGTTTGCTTTTTTTTTTCATTCTCGAGTGTGATTCATCCGAATGTTTTTAATCCGATGGTGGTTCAATTAACGACGAAAAGAGAATTTAAAAAAACCAACACAACAAAATTGAGTGGAATATAAAGATATGATTTTGGTATAAATCACCACTTAAACTAACAAAACGATAACGACATAAATTTAACAAGGTAGAAGCAAATGTGTTTCGAAATGCCATCGAATTCGATGTAGAGCCACACCACAGCCGATGTTTTCCTTTCCTTCCTCACCATCCTCCGTCATTCTTTCGAAAAAGATTAATGGAAGGTATAAACTCTATCATCAAAAAGCATTTCCTAATCTCGTTAACAATTACGAACTAATTATAAGTTTCTTTTTTGTTACCTGTGTGTTGTACATTTTTTTTTATTCTACTTCTTTGCTATCTCTTTTTCACTCGGATATATAGTTTTTTTGTTTTTTTTTTCGTTTTTTTTATGGGTTAGCTAACATGCAAACCTGCATTAACAAAAAAATGATATGCAAGCGTGTCTGATCATTCATTGCTATTTATGGCATTTTTTTCTCTTTCCGTGTGGTATGTATTTGTTTATTGGGGAATATTAACATCGTTGGTTGCATTCATCTCTTTTCCCAAGAGTTTCAACCGATGAGTTGCTAATCATCATGGTATTTTGCGTTTGCCACACTAAATTACTTCCTAAATGACTGTGTCCAGGTATCGACAAAGGAACTAAAGTGAAGAAGAAGAAAAAAACAAACAAACATGGGAACCAACCGCCACGACAGCGCGCACTAATAAAAAAAATGGGTGAAAATGAGAACCGCCGCGTGTACATATTAACACACACGAAAAAAAAAAAACACACAAAGGGCAAACGAAAATGTTATGCATTATATATTGAGACATATCAAATTAGAGATGGTTTATTCAATTGGACAGATGAATATACTCGTCAGAAGCATGCGCTTGCAGACACGGCATGTTCTCATCACATCATCATCTCTTATTCGGCTAGTTATCGCTAATGTGCATCAAAAATATTTCGAGCCTTTGAGTTTGGTCTCCTGTTTCGTTACTTCTTATTCTGAATTCGTGATATTTGTTTTTATTTTTTATTTTCCTTCTGTCGGTTGTTATTCTTTTTGCTGTTCCGCTCTTTGCTCTCTTCCCAAAATTAGACATATGAAATATAAATCTTCAGCGCATGATAATATAGTTTGCGTATTTGAGCATTCAATTAACATTTTCGTGAATGGGAAAAAGAGCTTTGGATCACACACATTCAACATTATTCGGTCGACAGAAGCAACAAAGCGGAATATGAAAAAAAAAATAAACGATGAAAAGACGAAGTCATGATCGCCAATTTTAAAAGAACCATATAATGGTTTCATGATAGATTCCATCATTTCTGCAAGTTTCAGTAATTTAATTCTTTGGCATTGAGAACACACAGAAAATCGATCTACATACGGTAGACAACAGGTAGACCGTTTGAGGAAACGAACCAGATCAAGTGGCGCATATCGTTCATTCGATGGCTCTCTTTCTCTCGTTACACACTCATTCCGCATTGATTACTCCACTGGTGCTCTTTCTTGTAATACTCTCACAGTCCATCGACATTT